CGATTTGATTCTATCTTCTGTTTTATATACTCCAATGACCAATAGCTTACATCTGTATAATAATAAAAAATACTTTTATTGTAATTTACGCTTCGTTCAATATTTATAAAATATTCGTATTATTATATTCGTAAAATGTAATGATCCAGTCGATGTTTAGGTAGTTGCTGACTTATCAATGAATTCAGTTATGTGTTTTTAAAATACTATACTATATTACACGACTATTAAAGATTAAATAAATAATAGAAGCATCACACTAAAATGATGGTACATAGATGAAAACATATGTGTTAACAGTGCTATATATACCGTACAACAGTATTGACGATATACTATCACTAATATCATCCAATATGTTTAATGCTTTGTTATTCTAATAAATGTAACTTTAATTTTCAAAAGAATTCTTTTTTTTTAGTTTTTATAAATTCAATTTTAATCGAATAATTTACATACATGCATAATTAATTTTTTATCCAAACCGTACTGCAAAACGTTTATAGACTTATAGGTACCTTTGAGAATACATACCGTCATTTTGAAACTCATCGGTGCTTAATAATTAGTATTTGTACAGTGAAATCAGTGCAAAATACAGGTATTATACACCGATTTTTGTTATGATATGTCGTTGGTTTGGAAAATATACTTGACGCGAAACAGTATATTATATTTTTTCTCATATAGTAGTCTACACATATCAATATTACATTTTATACCTATATATAAATTATTATTGTTATTGACTTTATTTTTCTTGAATTTACATATAATACATGTTTCAGTTAAGTCCGCTGATGTGTAAGAACATCCTCTTTTTATTGTAGATATCATTTTTTTTTCATTTTATATACATAAGCAAATATTATGTAGAATAAACGAAAATAAATAAATCACGAACTCGCTTTGGACAGTAAGTATATAGATCGAACACTATATGCGCTCTATATAACATATATATATATATATATACCTGCATAATATAATATATTGGTACATGCGTTGTACACTTTTGCGGAAAAAATACAATGAAACTTGTATTATATTATGTATCATTTCTTTTGAAGAAACGAACGATATTACGACTTTATTATATTTTAGTTTCGTCCATTGTTATAAAAAAATATCTCTTGTATCGGCACCTACTTTGTTGACATTTATTATTATTATTATTATTGTTATTGTTATTCGTAAACAGGTATTGACATATCGTTAATCGAGCGCATATTACCGCCGCTTAGAATGTATATTGACTATCGTAGTATCGTCTATACTTTATGCAAATTTCTGTCGATATCTACATTTGGCGTCAAAATAATATTATATAAGTATACTATACTAGAATTTCTGGCACCAAATTCCCCAAAAAATCCAAACATCGATAGAATTGATATTTACATATTATTATAAGTGGCATTCAAAATATAATACCTGAGCAATTTTCAACAATAACATAACTTTGTAATGATTATAATATAGCTACCTAGGTATATTGTAATGTCAACATTAAGACTCATACTCGTTTATTTGTGTAATTTAATGTTTTATGTAAATATAGGTGATTCAAACACGGGCCCAATGGTCGGAGAAGAGACAACGCAGTAGACGTAGATATACCTACATCTTTTTAAACGTATTGTTAATATTCGAAATAACGAACAAATGTTTATTTTCCTACTGAATTAGCTATATATAGGTGTACACGTGTACACCTGTATCTTTTTTAAATCAGTGCAATGAGTAGGACGCAACAATGGATGAATTAATATAGAAATGTGTATCTAAATTCTGAAATATATCTGCAGTCACAGAATTATTATACTCATAAGACTATGTACGAGAAATTGGGCATAAATAATTTTTTATGCAATTTCACGTGGGCAAACTGGAATATCTCATTTTAATTCCCGGAGTTTTATATAGTCGAATTTATGGCAATTGGCAGTTAATCATGTTGAAAACAAAAAAAGAAACCTCTTTTATAACTTCATCCGCGTCTTGTAATAACGTTTTACAAACTATATACTATTGTAAATCATAATGTTCTTACATTTTATAGGCGCAGATGCGAAGTAGAGAACAAATTTACAAATTAATAATATATTGTTATAAATTGCATTCTAATATACACAATATAATATTGTTTCGTGTGTACCTACCAATTATCTAAATTCAACATGGATAAAAAAAATAATTTTCATAAGATTATTAATATTGGTGTTGATTACAAAAAGAGGTGATAAAAGTAAATATATCATAAATCAGTAAAATAGAATGGATTACGTAGACCAAAAATTAAAAATACTATTAATGAATTTTATTTGTATTTTTGAGTTATGTCTCACACCATAATATAGTTATTAATCCGGTATATATGGGCCCAATAAAACCATTATAATCCAAAACGGAGCTCTTATGCATAAAATAAAAATATCATTTCTACTTATTATACTATATTACTATACCAACTATTAATGCATATTTGAAAACAATATTCTCTATGCATTTTAGAACCGATAGTTAAAAGTGATGAATTCAAACACGTTGCGTTATTATTACGTTTTGTGCATCGTTATGAATTAAAAAACATTTATAATAGAACAGTTTACGAATATAAATTACGATGTGCCACACGAAGGCCTTCGTTGTAATAGTTTATTGCACAAAAAAAAAAAAATAAAAACGATTTGTTTTAAAACTGACCTAACCCAATATGAATGGCAAATACGGCAATAACTATGAAAATACTTTTCGTATTTTATTTTATTTTTTTAATTATTTAAGTTTTTACTTCCTATAGTTGAATAGGCTTAAATATCGACAGTGTATCTAATTCGTATTTTAATTGTACATTTTAGGTTACCTTAATTTTAAGTATATGGATACCTTTTGGTAAATACTAGATCCATAAAAAATAATTTAAAACCAAACAACCAATTTTATCCAGGAAAAAATGTGTAACCTACTATAATATAATTTTATTAACTAGTCAAAACAAAAAAAAAAATTATTTTATATGGTTTGATTCATTATTAATACATAAATATTTTTTTATTGATCTTTACGTCTAAAAACATGCTAGGATCATTAATTTGACATCAAATTGTATTAATATATGTACCTAATATCTTATACCCGAACAATATATGAAAATTAATTATTTATGAAATATTAGTATCACATTTTCTAACCTACGTTCCTGCATAAATTTATGACTATTACTACTGCATTTCATACCAACATTTTTATTTAAATAATGTATGTTGATGGTATGGAACAAAATACATATTTATGTAATTTGAAACATGGAACAATATATTCTGTAGTAATGAATAAAAATATTGTCTATAACTAATTCAACAGTACACGACCGTTGGACATCATATTTATTATATACCTTATATGTACCAATACTAATGTAACTTGAAAAAAATGTATAAAACTTTAGTTAATTAGTTATTATATTAATGCAGAAATTAAAAAAAATTGATGATATACTATGAATAAAAAAAAAATGATCACCTAAATGAATTGTTCACAGTTTTTATATGTTAAGCATATATAAATTAAAAATTATTATGCATTAATGACATGCATGGACTAAAATGTAATTATTTAAATCTATTATTTATATATTATATGTATACATAATAAGCTAATCATAATTTCATTTTTCAATAAACATAATGTTTTCTTAGATTTTGTATAAAATAAGATATACTTAATTTAGTAATTTGCCACTCCTAAATATTGTTTCAATTGGTTAGATTTTAGATAATAGTTTTAAACTGAAAAACTGTTCAAAGTAGATCCTGATAAATCAATTACATTTCGTTTAAATATAACATTAAGTAAACTAAAATCGATTTGGGTAAACACAGGAATTTATTTACGTTTCCTTTCTTCCATCTACTACTCTTCTACTATAGTTATAACTGTTGTCGTATGTATTATTACCAAAACTTATAATTTAATGGTTATAAATTATTTTCAAAATAATCTTATTTTACATAAGCTTTTTTCTAAATTCCAGGGACGAAATTAAAACTTTAAAATTTAAATATGTACATATTTTGTTGGATAGGTGTTAATATTTTTTTTCAATATGGACTGTATCAACTGTACAATACATACTGTAAATCGTATAAATATCGTTGAAAAAATTTGTTGAGAAGCTCCAGAACTATCAGCTCTAGAATAAAATAATTATTTAAATATTATGTTCATTTTACTAATGAGTGTAGTTTATTTGATCACGAAAGTATTTGGTACAGTTCAAGATAGATTTCTATAATATTTGAATTGTAGGAAGATACAGATTTTGAGATATTCACCATAGTCAAGCTCATCTTAACCGGTTTTCATAAAATTAACAGAAAACAGGATTATCTGCTTTTTTAACAATTCAAAATAAACATCTGGTTAAAAGAATTTCATTTTATGTTTTATCAATTTTTGCCAAAAATTAAGAACGTTTTCTCTCTGTACTTCTATTTCACCTATCTTCCTACACTTTACACATAATTACATGTGAATCAATTAGAAAAAAAAATTAAATCTCAGATTTTATCTGATTTTTCAGAAATATTTTTATAACTATAGAGAAACAAATTAGGTGTACTAAACGTAAAAAATAATAATTTCGAAGTAAATATTAGTAATTTTATAGAACAGTATGCTATTTTGTTCCAGTTACAAGTATGTATATTACTATTTTACTAATAATTAACAACTCGTGAGGCGTATTAATAGTATTTTCGCCAAGTACAATTATTCTTAATGAAAAACGTTTTACCATTTTAAAAGCTTTTTGACTTGCCCATATTTACCGGTGTGCAGTTACAAGCTACACGATATGTGTAAGTATAATACTATATAAAGAAAGCTCACACAACGTGAGACGCATTGATTGAAAAAAAAAAAAAAGAAAAATAATTTCAGCCCACAGTTATTAATAAGGAGAAAGAAAAAAATAAATATTAATTTATGATAAATACCTTCATTATATTGTTCGAGGTAAATGGTTTCGTGCAAAATTAAAAATTAATAAATGTAAAAAAACAAAAAAGTAACAAACACTAAGCACGCGCTCGCGCGCACACACACACACACACACACCCTCTCACTCACACACACTAACAAAATCAAAAACAAAATACAAATAGGTACGTACTGCGGTGTGTTGCGTCTATTTATACGACACTATGATATATATACATAAATTATTATTTTTATTGCACGCGAAAACCGGACGCCGAAAATTAAATATTTAAAATTTTAAAATTTTTTTTTAAAAATGTCAAAAAACCTGCGGCGGCAAAGCGCGGGAAATCGAAAATGTTTTTTCGGCTCAAAAACCGTCGAACGCGAACTCTGGAATCCCCGAGAGCGCGATAAATACGCGTGTACGTCGCGAACAATATTATACAGAAAACGACGACGACGAAATCCGGGATCGGGGACACGTGACACGGACCAACACACGGCTGACTGAAGTGAAAATTGTTGCGCGCGGTGGCGGTGGCGATGCGATGCGATGCGATACGGATTCGCGCGGTGCGAAAAAATCCGCCCCTCCCCACTCCCCACCAATCGCGAGTGCATCGAACGCGTCTCGCGGGGTAGGGGACGACGGCGGCGGCGGCGGCGGCGGCAAGTATATACATTAACATTATCACGGTGCAATAAAATATAAACAATACAATATTATGCAATTTATTGCAATTATTACAGTCATTACCCCACCACTTGTACCCGTGTTCCTGCCTAGCTCACCCCGCTCCGGAATGTTTGGTGTTTCGTACGGCGTGTGCGTGTGAGGGGGGGTTGGGGTGGTGTCCCAGAGGGGTGGATGCACTTTGGCGTATTAGTATGATGACGAGACATCGAGTCCGTCGTTACTCACCTCTGCAAGCGTCCCGACGACGTCGCCGGCGATGCTGTGGCTGTGGCGGTGTCGGCGCCGACCGGTAGACGCCGAACGACTATCGTCGTACCCTGCAGGACGGCGCGCGGCTCGTCGCCTGTCGTGCTCTCGGGCGGACGGAGACTCGGAGGCGGCGGCGGCGGCGTCGGTGGCGGCGGAGTCGTTCTTCGGCCGTGCCGGTTTACACACTGTACCGCGGCGACGGCGACTGAGACGACCGGAGCGCGAGACGTGTTGCCATGCGGAACGTTGACGGGACACTATTATTATTATTACTATTACTATTAAAGTAATAATAATAATAATAATAATAATAATAATAATAATAATAATAATAATAATACCGTACAGCGTCTGGAGTACGTATACCATACGGGCGCGTGGTGTCCGTTCGTACGTTTCGCGGCGGCGGCGGCGGAGACGTCACGTCATAACGAGACGACGAGGAGGCGTGACGTCACTGTTTGTTTGCTTGGGGGGAGCGGGCGGCGCGGTTATTGTATAATAATAATAATAATAATATTATAATACACATTATTATTATTATTATTATTAGTAGTAGTAGTAGTAGTAGTAGTAGTAGTAGTAGTATAGCCGTAGTAACGGTCCGACGACACGTCATCGACGACGCCACCGATGCCGCCACCGACACCTCCGCCGTCAGACCGTCGACGGGGTTCTCCTTCGGGTGGTGGTTGGGGAGGGTTTAATCACGTTGAGTGGGGTAGGTTTTTTCGCGTGTACAATATCGCCGGACGCGGCGTTATCGCGGATGGCGGGGCCGAGACCGGCCGGCGGGGGCTGCGGGAGGCGCACCGACGATCGTTCGAAAAACCGCGAAGCGTTGAATACCTATATACATACCTACAATTATTATTTTGTTATCGACAATTCCGCCACCGCCGCCGCCGCTGCACTTAATGTTTATAATAATGATATATACACCTACGTGTCTGCGGGTATTGTAATCACAATGGCATAATAATGTCTAAGTAGTAAGTTCACTTTCGAGTTTTTCCGTATACGCGTTATTTGTATATATTACCCGTCAACGGTCTTTATAATATATATATATATAGGTAGGTACCTACATAATTTATTACACATCAGACCGTAATTCAACGGCGAGAAATCATCGGCAAACCGCGATAGATGGGAATATTATTTATATACGAGCTCACACACACACACACACACACACACAATAATATATATATATTTATATTAAATATATTATTACTATATAATATTATAATGTTCGCCGGCTGCAGTAAAACGGTCTTAACTGTATATAATATAATATATGTATAGCCTTTCGCAGGTATACATTACGATTACGCTATACTGCTTATACCACTCGCTGGCTGAAGTGAAATGCCGAATGGCCTATCCGAACGCGACGTCCAAACCAAAACAAATAAAAAACCCCTACACTTATATTATTTTAATAATATTATTTATACCACACACCTCTGCCGATAGTGACAAAAAATATAAACTATTGTTGTACACCTATATAGAACCCGGGCTGTATGAAATATGTGCTTTTACTACTGATTTGAAAGTTTAGAAAAAAATATATAAAAATACCAAACGAATTATTCGCGTTTTGTGACTCGTTTATTTTCATTCGATTTTTAGGATTTATGTTTTGACGTGCAAAAGCATTATTGAGAATTTGTGACGTCCCGGTGCCTGTATACGAGGTCTGTTCAAAAAGTACCCAGACAAATATTATTAGCATCTATTATTATCTAAGCACGAAAACGTTTTAAATTATATAATATATATACATATATTTCCCACGTATTAGTGAATATTTTAAATACAGCCCAAATCACTATTTTATCTCAGTTTAATATTAACACACGGTTAAATCGAGCAGTTTGTTTTCTTTGGCGTTTTCAATATGTACGAACAAAAGGAAAATCGATTAACGATTTGTCAAGACCTTAAAAATCGTTCTATCGATCCTAATTTTATAAAAACATTAAAACAGGTGACGAGACATGGGTTTATAGGTATGATCTCGGTCATCTCAGTGAAAAACAAAATTTTCCTATCGGCCAAAAAAATCTCGTCAAGTGTGGCCAAATGTCAAGACAATGCTGCTTGTTTTTTTGATATTGAAATTATTGTTCATTAAGAATTTGTACCCCATGGACAAACAGTCAATCAGGTATTCTAAAAAGACGTACCTATTAATACGTTTGGGAGAAAAAGTTTGTGAAAAATGCTCAGCAAAATGGCGAACAAGAACCTGGTTTCTTCACCGAGACAATACGCCAGCGCATTCGGCGCTGCCGATAAGTGCATTTTTGGCTGCTAAAAAATACCTGTTGTACCGCACCCTCCCTTTTATCTCGATCTGGGCCCGTGTGATTTTTTTTCTTTTCACAAAGCTAAAATTTGCACTCAAAGGACAACGATTTCAAGATGTAGAAGAAATTAAATCGAATATGGCGGCAGAAGAACTCAAAGTCTTAATTTCAGAGCAGTTTCAAAAGACTTTCGAAAAATGGCAAGAAACTGGGACCATTGCATTTTGTCCGGAGGAGAGTATTTTAAAGGAGATATCATTAAATAATGTGTAACTTAAATTTTGTTTTTATTAATAATAAAATCCTGGCACTTTTTGAACAGACCTCGACACCTCGTATATAGTTAGTGCCAGAGTGTCTACTAGTATTTTCCACTGTATTTATACATTATATGTACAACTTGATTTGAATTGTGACACAATGAATATAATTTATATTAATTATTACCATTCGTTTAGGATCGACAAAACTGGTTAGAAACTATAAGTTTCAATGAAACTTAAATAATATTATGTTCTATAATAATAACGGTTATGATTATATTGAATAAAACACGTTCATTAAAATTCTTCGATAATTACACATCCGCCAGTGATCAGTGAGGAATAGGTGTGCGTGCGTTTAATATCGACAAGCATTATAACAGTCTTCATATTTTAATGTGTTTTTATTTGAAAGCTGCATCAAAATATGTGTTTCTAAACTCAGAACGTAGATGATGATGGTAAAATGATTGACAAAGTATACAACAACACTATTTAGCTCATATACTGTAATATTTTATTCAATCCCATCGTGTAAAACATGTACCTAACAGTCGGGCTCGTGGCAGTCATGAATCAAGATGTTGCTACAACATATGCATTACTGCATGTAGATTCATAATAATAAGTTATAACTTATAGTGCCGTTGTCACAAAGTCGTAGATTATTATTCACGACTACTCACACAAAACTTGAATAATGACAGTTCGTTGAACGTTGAACCTATCAGTTAAGACATGTGTTGAACATAGGTTAGGTAGCTGCAGTGTTTTCATTATTATTAAAATTATAATAATATCTGTATAGCTCTCGGTCGTAGATATCGAATAACTATAATTAGAATTTACTCGAGAGAAAATATCTGATGGTTATTTGATAAAATTAAAACGGATAATACCATATTGAAGTATTCCGGTAAAGTAATTGAATTATACTTTTAATATTTGCAATAGAACATTATTATATTATTATGGTGCTAATTTATCCCTAATAGATTTCTCCAATGGATTTTATCGTATATTTATGAAAACATAAACGCGTCTGCTGGGATTGATCAATATTACCTATAACGCTCAGCAAATAAAATAACGTATACTAGTTGCACGCTAGACTTTAATCGCACGTGGTTCAATGCGCTCAAAGTTCACATCGTGAATTATTGGTACTTAAATACCAATAAAGTGTACTAGGCTGTTTATACATTTATCATATAGACAAACAATCAATGGAACGTTATAATGCAATCAAAAATAACATATTATAATATTTATACAGTAAAAAAATCTTGCAGAACGAACCCAAAAATTATGTCGATACGTGTAGGTAAACCTGCTTCAATTGAAAAATTCAAGAATTGAATTAATATTGCACTATTATACAAACGAGTAAACGGTAGATGCGTGCATATCATTATTGTTATTATGTAGAATTCATTTGCATCGGTGCATAATTTTGTAATATCTTTCCCGAAATCCAATTGCGTCTTGTTCATGTTACCTATATATTATATTACCGTCGTGTAGGTATACCTACATCACCTGTAATAATACTCACATATTTTCGCGGAAATAAAAAATTGTAATTCAATTTCGCAGGCAAAAACACAATTTATACGATGTTATAAATAAATTGTCATCTATTGATGCAAGCATGTAGGGTACACACAGCCAAACGCATATTATTATATTATACTGCGTCGTTTGAATATAATTATATCTGCCGACTTTTACCTTGTGGTGATAGCAATCTCATGATTTTTCATAAACAAAATCGAATAGGTACGAACTGCATTAACGGGCCGGGCATTATGTCTGAGATGTAAAGTACCTACATAAACCCGTTAAGCCACCCATCCGTGTTTTTTATTTTACGATTGTGTTTATTTTTTCGAAGTTTTTTTTCCTTTTCCGGATATCACAATTTTTATGCCAATCGCATACACCGAGAATATTTTACAGCTGTTCAATTTGTAGGACAATATTATATGGTTA